CAAAGAGGGAAGTCGCAGTACTAAAGACAGTAAAGCTATACTTGAAGCACAGCACAATCTATGTTTCCAACAGATTGGGAATGAGATGAAAGCTGATTATGAAGAGCACAACGCTATTCTGATCGCTTGTTGCATGATGCAGATCAAGGCAAAGTTTGATACTGATGAAGGTCTGAACTTCATTCAACAGTATTACATCAATCAAGGACTGAAGAAGTTTGGTGATGATGCAAAAGATGCTGTGGATAAGGAATTGAGACAAATGCTCCTGAGAGATTGTTTTACTCCCGAATTTGTGAAAGACATGACCGCGTCTGAGCGAAAGAAGGCCCAATCAGCAATGATGGTACTCGCGGAAAAGCAATTTGAAAAGACAAGTAAAGGTCGCCTAGTATACCAAGGCGATGAAACTCGTGAATGGTTATCGCATCAGAATGGTTATAGCGAGAGGACACTGCAAGTCAAACCGCTTTGCAGGAAGCAATCACCACTACTTGTGTTATTGATGCACACAAAGGTAGAGATATAATGACGATAGACGTACCTAACGCTTTCATTCAAACTTATAAGCCTGAAGCTAAGGAAGGAGAAGATCGGATCTACATGAAAATCACTGGCATGATGGTCCAGATATTGATTGACATGCCCCCAGAGTATTGCAAATACGTTGTTTTAGAGAACAAAAAGCGAGTAATCTATGTGCGGGTACTACGTGCTATATATGGGATGTTGCAATCGAGCCTCCTATTCTATAATCAGTTTTGAAGTGATTTGGAGGCAAAGGGATTTGTTTTCAATCCTTATGACCCGTGTGTTGCTAACAAAGTTGTTGATGAAAAACAGCAAACTATCAGGTTTCATGTTGACGATCTTATGTCAAGTCACATGGATCCAAAAGTAAATGACGAATTTGCGAAGTGGTTGAACATGAGATATGGTTCGATCAAGGCATGTACAATCGTCAGAGGAAAGAGATACACAGATATCTTGGAATGACTTTGGATTTCTTGGTGAAAAGAAAGCTCAAGATCCGCATGGACGACTATGTCAAGAACATGTTGGAGGAGTTTCCTATCAAGTTCAACAAGGATTCAAAGCAGGAAACACCAGCTGGCAACGATTTACTGGAGGCTGGTAAAGGAAAGTTACTCAATGCTGAGTACTGTCAAATCTTTCATACTACTGTTGCAAGGGGACTTTATGTCTCTAAGAGAGCTCGTTTGGATATCCATCCAACAATTACTATTCTTGCCTTGAGAGTTTGAGAACCTACAGAGTCTGATTGGAAGAA